AACAAATTCCATGCTGAAACCAAAACACAGTACTGTTCTAGCTACTAAAAAGAAACCTAGCTCTGTCCCAGCTGAAAACCAGGACAATTCTCCATTTAAATGATTTGTAATCTTTGCTTCTAGGATACAAATTAACCCAAAACCTCTGGTTTTCCATATTCTGTAGACGTTCTGATCTGGAAATGCACAGGATGGAAAGCCATCATCTAGAATTCTCCAGATCACTTAATTTTCTGTATTTTATGAGTGTTCAGGATGAGTTCTCCATAGTCCACTGACAAAGATATATACTTTCAGGCACTGTAAAACAAACTCAACCACTCCCTCCTGTCCCTGCACCCCTCTCTCCCCATTTTTTTTCTCTCTTTCTTTCTTACTTTCCCTAAAATGTACCTTGAAGAATCATGGAATCATAGGAGCGTGGCATGTCAGTTTGCATGGCAGTTCATGCAGGCAAGGTGTGCGGCTGGAGCGCAGTTTCCCTCCTGGCTCAAGAAGGCTAACTCAACTAGTGGTCATTACCCTCCCAGAAGGGGACCCAGCTATGGCTTCCACTGAAAGCCATTGCCAAACAGAATGTGGCCACCCAGTCAGAGCTCCCAAGCAAACAAGCAGCTGTCCAGGTCTCCAGCTGCACAGAGTGCATGAGCCTGTCACTGGTACCGGACGACAGTAGGGACAACATCTCCGTGCATTGTGACCAGGTGAATGATCTGCTCAGCCTAGTGGCAGAGCTGAAAGAGGAAGTGGAAATGTTAAGGAGTATCAGGGAATGTGTCAGGGAGGTAGATTGGTGGAGCCACTATCAACTACTCCACAACATCTTTTTTCAGAATGAGAAATTCCCAACTGCCCTTCTTTACTTACATAGTTGCTTTCTTTAACAGAGAAATGTAAAAACAAAGCAGATACTGTCAAGAACTGACTTTTGCTTTCAACAAAGAAGGAAATTTAAATAGCAATAATGAGCATGTAAATAAAATGAGAATGCTGTCTCTCAAGGCAATAACTGCTTGGGAACCAAAGTGGTTGCTGACTAATAAAACAGTGAACATCATACATTATAAATAAAATCAACCTGCAACAGAAACAATTAAAAGGTTGCTTTATCTATTATAGTAGGTCACACTACTAAGGGTTGAGTAAGTTTCTAAGTTTCTGATTTCTCATATATTCTAGGGAATTTATGTATGGATGCTTTGGGTTTTCATGTCTTCATATGGAATATCCATGATTGGGTGGAAAAAATACAGAACATACAACAATATATATGAAAATATTTTTTATTATTTCTTGAATAATGTAAATACATATTCTATTTCAAATTTTCCTCACTTTCTCAGAAGAAACATTCTTTGTTCAGGTAAATGCATTGCAATGAAATACTGATAATTTTTCATTATCACAATAAAAAAAGTATTCCAGGAAATCAAGCAGCAATGAATACAGGACAAGTCCATTGCACAAGAATAGAAGTCCTATTCAGTTAATTTCCAGTTATTAAGTTTCTTAATTGATGCAGACATAACCCAAATAAGGAGAGACGAAGGTTCATCCCTGATTTATGCAGAATTTAACATTCCTCATTGAGTATGTTGTGATGTGGATAGCCTGTTCTTGCAATTTCATCACATCATTCATATTTGTAACATAAATGGGATAGATATGGGGTGGGAAGTCAACCAGAAAACACATTTTCACTTTATTTTTACTGAGAGAAATTCTCCGTAAGGCATTCCTTCCCTCCTTCCTTCCTTCCTTCCTTCCTTCCTTCCTTCCTTCCTTTCTTCCACTCCCTCCCTCACTCCTCCTTCCTTCCTTCCTTCCTTCCTTCCTTCCTTCCTTCCTTCCTTCCTTCCTTCCTTCCTTCCTTCCTTCCTTCCTTCCTTCCTTCCTTCCTTCCTTCCTTCCTTCCTTCCTTCCTTCCTTCCTTCCTTCCTTCCTTCCTTCCTTCCTTCCTTCCTTCCTTCCTTCCTTCCTTCCTTCCTTCCTTCCTCTCTTCCTCTCTTCCTCTCTTTCTCTCTTTCTCTCTTTCTCTCTTCCTTTCTTCCTTTAGTTTTCTTCTAATATTTCTACTGAACTTTAGTTTATTAATAAAATATAAAAATATAATTATTGCTTCAAAACACAAAATTCTTCTCAATAGTTAAGACTGCAGGTATGTATTGGGTGTGATTGTGATGGAATTAACTTTCTTCATAGCAGCCCCTATGCTGCTGTGTTTTAGACTGAGGACCAAAACATCATTGATAACACATCTGTGTTATAGTTATTGCTGAACAGTTCTTACACAATGTCAATGCCTTTTCTGTTTCTCATGCTGCCCCATCCCCCAACAAGTAGGCTTGGGTTGGGCAAGAGGCTGGGAAGAGACACAGCCAGGACAGCTGACCCAAATTCTCCAAAGGGATATGCCATACTGTGTGACATCATGCTCAGGAGTAAAACTGGAGGGAGTTTTTCAAAAGTGGCCATTGCTGTGAGAGTGGCTGGTCATTGGTCTGCTGGTGGCGAAAGACTGCTTTTGTATCGCTTGTTTTTGTTTGTGTTTTTTTTTTCTTTTTTTATTTCACTTATTAAACTGTATCTGTCTCAACCCAAGAGTTTTTCCTCCTTTTTGACCTCCAAAAACACAGCACTATAAAAGCTGCCGTGAAAAAAATTAACTCCATCCCAACCACCCCAGTGCAAGGTAGAGAATAGCAGGAGAGACCACTTAACTTTATGTGTAGGTTTTAAGCATTGGATTCAAACATTTAGGAAAGGATTCACTTGCCTAGTGCTTTAATTTATTTGAGGTACCCTTGGAATATCAAAGTAATCCAATTGGCCCTGGCTGATGTGGCAGAAAACCTGTAAGAGTCCTTCAAACAGATTGACAGCTTGAGGACAGACAGAGCACTCAACAGTGTCTGAAATGTCAGTATGAGCTAGGTGTTTTTTTAGCATGACTTAACATGTACTTTTAGGCACTACAGATTATCTTTCCTAATCTTCAACAGGCTCTGCAGTAGAAGTGAGTCTCTAGTAGACTTTGTATCAGATCTGCCAATGATGTGCGGATGTCTTAGATACCTTGGTGCTTCTGAAATGAAACTGACACATCTATGTTTGCACAGTTGAATCCTCCTAATTTCTTTGCTTAAAGGTATATATTAGATAGACACTGCATGCTGTGCCTGAGCCTATCACCAGTACCTGAGAACAGCAGAGCAAACACCTGTGTGTGGTGTGACCAGGTGAATAATCTGCTCAGCCTGCTGAAAGAAGTGGAATGATTAAGGAGTATTAAGGAGTGTGAGAGGGAGATAGATTGGTGGAGCCACACTCTGCCATCCCTGAGGCAAATGCAGCAAATGGAGACTCCACAAGAAACAGAGGATCTCTTACCCCCTTGCCACCAAGGACCTAAGAGACAGAGGGGAACGGAAACAGGTCCCTTTTTAGGGTGGCAGGCAAATCCCCTCTGGTATTCCCTCATCTTTCCAGCTGCCCTTACACAACAGGTATGGGGCTCTAGAATTTGAGTGTCAGACAAATGAGGAGGTAGATGAAGGTCCAGCCAGGGGGCTGCCAACATGTGATGAACTGACAGAAACCCCCATTCCCCATCCCCCTGTACCATTGGCAGGGAGGAGGTGGAAATTGGGAGGAAAGTTAAGCCTGGGAAGAAGGGAGGGGTGGGGGGAGCTATTTTAAGATTTTACTTTATTTCTCATTATCCTCTGATCTGATTGGTAATAAATTAAATTAATTTATTTTCCCCAAGATGAGTCTGTTTTGTTCATGACAGTAATTGGTGCCTGATCTCCCTCTGTCCTTATCTCTGCCCTACAAGGCTTTTGTTATTTTTTTTCTCCCCTGTGCATTTGAGGAGGGGGAGTGCTAGAGTGGCTTTGGTGGGCATCTGGCATCCAGCCATGGTCAACTCACCACAGCACACACTCAGAAGCTGTTGGAGATCTTGTTGTTCTGAGGAGCTTCTTGGTTCCCAGGACATCCTGGCAGAAGGTTGGCACTGGAGGTGAGTGACAGAGTCCATCAATATAAGATGGTGGTTATACTATCTGAACTGCAAAAGAAGGCAGCTCATAAAACTGCACTCATGCTTGTCTCTAGTTTTTGTCCCTAAAGGACAACAGGCAAAACTCAGTGGAGACGACTCCCATGAGAGGTTTTTCTCTTACTCAGTATGACCATTTTTCTATTTAAGCAAATTCACCAAATAATATATTTTGTTCCCACTCTCTCTTGGAAGACTATGTGATGAGTCTTGGTCTCTGGAGCCTGCTGAAAGAGAATGAAGATACCCATGTGCTGTACCAAAACATGAGACAGAAGAACCTTGGGAAATCTGGCCCAGGTTCTTTGCACTACCAGGTGAAATGGCACATACAGGCTGATGTCACGCCTTCATACAGGCACTTATGGACCTAGAGCATTCACTGGTCATGTCAGAGACTGCATTCAGTTTCTTACTGTCTCAGGCAAAGCTAGAGCAGATTTCTTCCCCACTTCCAAATGACAGAAGATAAATTACTCCAAGGTCCTGTTATCTGTGACTGTACGAGGCTCTCAGGAACTTCTCCAAAAAAATTTTATTAATGGCATAAAGAACTACTAACAGGTCAATGCAAAACACAAATGACACTATGGCCCAGGTGACAAAATACCTGTCCAAGAGACATTGCAGTCTCTGCTACAGTGACTGTACTGTATGAAATACTAACTTTTTTTTTTTTTTTTTTTTGGAAACAGAGATTGAAACCTCATTTTCCACCAGATGATGCAAGGTGGTATATCATAAATACTGAAGTAGTAAGGTTCATATGCACTTATACTGGACAGGAGAAACACAAAATCACTAAGTAGAGTTTGAGATACATATATTTTCCAAGTATTCCAAGTTAACAGGCTGTTTTAAAAAAAAGTCAAGCATAAAGGAAAAAAAAACATAAATATATAGAGTAAAAGAAAGATTCCTTTCAAGTAGAATAAACTTATATCTTCCTTAGCTTATATATAATTTTGATTAGTACTCCTTTCACATCTTTATTTCTCAGGCTGTAAATCAAGGGGTTTAATGCAGGAATTATGGTTGTGTATATGAGAGCTAGGAATTTCTTTGTGTCTTGTGAATTACTGGATTTTGGCCGTAAGTAAATCAAGGTCCCACTTGCATAATACAGTGTTACAACAGTAAGGTGTGAGGAACAGGTGGAGAAGATCTTGTGTCTGCCCTCTGAAGAAGATATCTTCAGGATGCTGGAGATGATGCAGGCATAGGATACCAGGATGAGGCAAAATGGTGTAAAGATGACTAGCACCGTGGCCATAATGATCTGCTTTTCATACAAAGATGTGTCAGTGCAGGAGAGCATGATGAGGGGTGGAATATCACAGAAGAAGTAGTTAATCTTTCGGGGCCCACAAAATGGCAATGTGAACACCCAAGCTGTCTGCACCACAGACACAACATTACCACTGCAGCATGACAGCAGGACCAAAGAAAGACAAACTCTGCTGTTCATGATGATTGCATATCTCAGGGGGTTGCATATGGCCACGTAACGGTCATAGGCCATGGCTGCCAAAATGTAGCATTCAGTGGCTCCTAAGAAGATCACACAGTAGAGCTGTGCGGCACAGACCATGTAGGAAATGCTCCTGTCCTCTGACAGGAAGTTTATCAGCATCTTGGGAACAATGATTGATGCTGTGGAAATATCCAGGAAGGACAAGACCCGG